GGCCCGTCTCCCTATCTCTCACCCTTTTCTTTAAAGCATATGATAAACTCGCTTGATCCCAAGTTAAAGGATACAGTGATTTTGTAACTTTCTAGGAAAGTTGGAAATTCATGAGCAGTAGGACCTGGATTTGAAGAATTTAATAAATATTTTACGAATCACTAATTTATTTATTGTTTGAAAATGTTCCATCTATGTTCACTTAATTTGCTGAGATAATCTATTCCTTTTCTTCTTGATAGGCAAAAGGATAGAATTACGGAATAATGTTCCCTAAAGGCATGATTCACTATAAAATAAAATCAGTTCTGATAGATTGAATGATTTTTTTACACTATTTAACTCAAAATTAAACTTAAATTTAATTCAATTTAAAATTCTCGTAAATATTATCAATATAATTAAATAATACTCCTTCCTTTTTTTTAATAAGTGTCATTTTGAGTTGCACAATAATTAAGAATATTTTTTTACCAATAATAACTCTCATTAATGAGGATAGTGATGGATGTTTTGAAAAAAGATAAAGAGTTAATATGAATAGACGTAGTATATTTATTAGCTAAATAATGGTAATAATGGAAAAATATATACAAAAATCCAAAACGTCATATATTTAGTTAATTGTTGAGAAAACCAAAAATAACATTTATTAAAAAAAGGAGATAGTAACAATTTACTATTCTTACACTAATGTTTTAAATAATGTGTACATGTTGGTATTCGCAGTACCAATCCAATCAATCATCCTCACACCAATGTTTTAATATCTTGTATATTATTTATGTAATTAAATAATACAAACTAATAATTATTACACACCACATCAACTTTAATGCACTATTCATTCACTCACATAATTTTAACTACCTATCATTTCTAATCATTTATCTCTACTTTTACATCAAATCACTTCTAACCATTTTATTTTAAATATTATTTTAATACATTGTTAAAATTCCACTAACAACTAACTATACCACATTGTCCAAAATTAACTATGGTTAACCAAAATAACTCGCTTTGAACAAATTATTTGATAAACAATCAAGCCTCAACTACTCATCATTTCAAACGGGAGCTAAAACAAAGTCCATAACTAAGTGTACCGACATACCGATACACTTTACAAAATAAACAAAAAGCAAAAATGGCAAAACATGACCATTGATCACCATCTAACAACTCAATTAATCCAATGCCATCATTCAATTAACATACGGGCTTTATTTTTAATTCAAGCTCGACCCGAGCAATAAATGTACGAGCTTTTGTCGAACACGAGAAGATGATCGTTAGCACGAACGCTAGATACTCGGCAAGGCGCGGCAGGCACGCTGGGTGACGAAAAGTTGGTTAATCTTTGTTATTCGTGTGGGCATAGATCTGGATGATTTAGGTTTAAGCGATTTAGGGTTTATCTCGTTCTTTTTCCAACGAGGAGTCCGACCGATGAACCTTGGGAATAACCCTATAACTCATTCTTCAATTCTTCTACTTTTATCTCTATTAAACTTTAATTATTTATTTATATATTATTTTAATATAAAATCAAAAGTCAACTCAAATATTATTTTATTTTTCATGCCCTAAATACTCTTACTCGGGTCTGGGGCGTAAATAAAAGTGTGTGTTTAGAATAAGGCTTTGTTTGTTTTGAGGGATTTGAAATCTATTGATTTCAAAATTTTTGAAATATACATTTTTGTACTTGCACACTCCTTGAATAGATGTGTTCAAAATATTATAAATTAATTGTCTAGCTCGCACCGATGGTGTTGACTCACGGTGGTGATGAACATAAATGATCGTGGACGGCGTGGTCCTCAACAATGGATTTCAAATGACTAGGTTTGAGGAGTCATTTCAAATCCTTCAAAATAATGACTAAAAAATATGTAGCATGAATTTGAAATCCTCCAACTTCCATTATCATCCCAATATGCAAGAACATTTGAACTTGTAAATTTGAAATCTATGAATTTCAACAAACGGAGCCTAAATGAAATTTCGACCATAGAGGACAGAAAAGGGCATTGATATAAATATAAAGGATGTGATATGACACAGCTAAAAAAATCAAGGGAGGGTTAAAGTGTAATTTTGCTCTATAGGGTTCATGAGCAGGTTCGTATAAAGCCTCGTTAGCCTCGTCAGTGACCTTCTCAGTGTTGGCTGTGTGATTGTGCCGCCGTCTGTGTCTGTATTCGACCGGAAAAGATTCAGCAGGACTCAAGAATCATCCGCCGGAAACCATGGGTAAATCGTCATCGAACACTTTCTCATTGTCCTTTTAATTGTTTGAAAAATCGTGTTGAACCTTTGTTCGTTGCTGTTTTTTGAAGTAATGGTGTTTGTGCGTAGGTATTTCTCGGGACTCTATGCACAAGAGGCGCGCGACTGGAGGAAAGAAGAAGGCTTGGAGGAAGAAGAGAAAGTAAATTAAAAACCCTTTTTCTGCTTTTGTTTCTGAATTTTGTTTAGCCTGTATTCTGGCATATGGCTGCTTGATTTTATTCGTGACATTCTTTTTTTCTGAAGTTTATTGTGATCTGATTTGTAATTCTAAGCACTCTGTTCTTATGTTTACTCTAAATCTGGTTTTACTAAGCGTTTGTTTTCGAAAATCGGTAAACAAATATTGGATTTTGTGTAAACCATCTTATATGGTGTCCATGTTTTCCATCCCGGCGTATTTTTGATTTCTGTTCACCGATTTATTCCTTACTACACAAGCTAGAGACTTACATAGTTATATTAAATGTTTATGTTCGATCCTTTATTAAATTCCTGAAATTCCTGCTGTTCTGAACACGTATTAGCCAATGTAAATATGAATCCTGTCTTTTGCTGTTGTCAATTAGAATTTGAATGCACTCACTATGCACATAATACTATTCTAAACTGTTTTTTTTTTTTTTTAACTGAAAGTTAATCATGTTTGTGTTTTTTAGGTATGAGCTTGGAAGACAACCAGCAAACACAAAGTTGTCGAGCAACAAGACTGTTCGCAGGGTGAGGGTCCGTGGAGGTAATGTGAAGTGGCGCGCATTGAGATTGGACACTGGAAACTTCTCGTGGGGTAGTGAGGCCGTGACCCGAAAGACTCGTATTCTGGATGTTGTTTATAATGCATCCAACAATGAACTGGTTAGGACCCAGACTTTGGTGAAGGGTGCTATTATTCAAGTTGATGCTGCGCCTTTCAAGCAGTGGTATCTTCAGCACTATGGGGTGGACATTGGTCGCAAGAAGAAAACAGTTGTAAAGAAAGAAGGGGAGGTATTGTATAATACTGCACCTTTTTTCGGTTTTTATTTCTCATTTTGGTATTTGGTTAGAGTGTTGGATATCGTGACAATTGTCCTTATAATTGCTGCATGAATTAGGTTTAATTGAGTCATTAGATTTATGACCTTTTTTCAATCATTGACTAGGTTTACTTTATGGTTGTTGTGGCAAGTCTGGTTGTTTTTTACCTTGAATTTTCATTGTAGATATAAGTAGAAGCATTCCAAAGATAAAGAATAAGTAGTTTATCTTGTACAAAGAGAGTGAAATATAACATTAAGTTTGGGAATAATGGTTATATATAAAGTGATTAAGCATGTTGACACCAGATTTTTATTGCTTTCCATGTTATGGTTGTCAGATGTATGATCTAATTTTTACTAGATAAGAAAATTAATCTTGTGAATGAGCTTTCTTGTATTTTTTTTTTTTTTTTCTTCATTTTCCTCTGGACTTTAGGATAATGAGGCCTCTGCTGCGGAAGAGGTAAAGAAGAGCAACAGTGTTCAGAGAAAACTTGAAAAGAGGCAACAGGAGCGTAAAATCGATACTCATATTGAAGAGCAATTTGGCGGTGGCCGTTTGTTGGCGGCAATCTCTTCCCGACCTGGCCAGTGTGGACGTGCTGATGGGTATGTATTTTTCTCTGAATTTTGTGCAGTTTTGATTGGGCAGTAATGCAAATCATGCTTGTATTTGCGTGTAATTTGAGCACATATCACTTGTGTGCTTTCAGAGGGTTGCCATTTTCTTCCAAGGGATCTTGAACATGTACTTTGCAAATCATGCTTGCATTTGCGTGTAATCTCAGCTAATTGTTGAAATTTATGGTTGTTTCTGAAGTTTTGTGTATTCTTGGTTACAGTTATATTCTTGAGGGGAAGGAATTGGAGTTTTACATGAAGAAACTCCAGAGGAAGAAAGGAAAGAGCGCAGGGGGTGCTTAAATTACATCTGCATTTTCAATTTTTCCAGCACCTGAACTTTTCTGTCATTGCATTTAGCGGGACAAATAGCCAAATAGTTTTTGTTCGAGCATTTATACCTATCGTCACTGATGTGAGATTTTGTGTAAGGTTGACTAAATGCACTTCATGCACTTCGGTTTTTTTGTAGTCGTCATTTTTGCTGATAGTTTGCTTTATCCTCGGGCTGCAAATCTTCCTTTTATTTTACTCACTTGGTCTAAATATCATAGAAAATAATGCCATTTCCGTAGAATTCAAAGATTGATGACCCATCAAATTTGTGGTACCATTTTCAATTCTACTAAATCTTCTCTTATCGAAAGTACAAATATTAACATAAACGTCAAGGCAATATTAAAAGAATAAAAGATACAAATGTCAATAATTATAAGCACGATGACAATATTAAAGAAAAACAGAGCAGCATTTACAGTTGAACATGAGATTGATATTAAAATGTACCGACAAAATTTCACATGAAATGGTAAAATAAGAACCAATTTATTTGGTAAAATATGCAAGTGAGATGTAGTTAAAAGAAAGGATATAGAAAATTATTAAGTATTATCGTGCAAATATAAAATGAAAAATTTCCATATTCAAATGAAAAAATTGGGTAGGAAAATTACATTACATTGCCTCGCCTCGAATTATATATACCAACAATATATGTATAATAAACGTCCAGTTTTTTTATTATATGCTTGGTGCAAGTCAAAGAACAAACATAAGAATACATCCTCTCCATAAGAAAATGAGGAAACTCGACCTCTCAGAATGATGAAAATGGTACAAANAAAGAAGGAAAAAGCTCCTCCATCCTACATTCGCGTGTTACCTTCCTGCTACAACCAAACAACGCCCTCATGTTCTCTCTCAACTATACCCACCCATTGCTAAAAGATCAACTTCCACTTTCATTTTCGTCCCTCTTCTCCCATTAAATTAAAAATCGAACCAAAAATATCCGAAATTTCACACCACCTTCAACACCCAATCCTTCCCAAAATCATGCCCAATCTATCAAGCACCACTCGAGGCTCTGCATACGACCCGTCAAGATGTATCGCGTAATATTCCAACCCTCTCCACCGCGAAATCAGCTCAAAGTGGGGCCTATTGTACTCACTACTAATTATCTCCAAAATCACCGCCTTCGGGCCCGCCGACACTACATGGGTCAGGCCCGCTCCATGCGCCCCAATAATAACATCCGCATCCTGTATGGCCCGAACCTGCTCTTTCATCGCCATATGGGCAAAAAGCCCATTTACGACGTTTAGTTTACAGACCGAATAATTCGAGGCCCAATTATTTACACTGTCAAAAACTTCTTGCTCATTGCTCAGCCTCGTTTGGACCTTACCACCGTGACGCGGGTGGGCGAGATAATCCTCCCGCCGGACGAAAAGGATGTTGAGGCCTGCGGAGGGCGTTTTGGTAATTTGGTGACGGTCGACTGGGAATCCGAAGGCGGCGCGTATCATCTCGCCGAATTCTGTGAGTCGGGCAGTTTTGTGGGAATCGGGTTTTTGCCATAGCTCGTGGGCCGAGGCTCCGTGGCAGTTAATGTTTTCGGTGAGGCCCTTGAATAGAGGGGTTTCATATCCAAGTGGGACAAGAATGACGTGGCGAAAACAGATAGGGTAGGTGAAGTTCTTGGCGTATTTGAGGGATGAGTATAATGCGGTCCATGTTTCTTCTAGTTGAGTCTGATATAATGTGCCATAGAATGTATATATATGTGGTTAGTATGTGTTTAAACGAAATGGAAAAGAAACGGGAAAAGGAATTTGGATTTGTACTCCAGAAGTGTACGGATCGTAATTTGGCGCTAAAGAGAGCGGTTGTTGGAAAAGATCCGTTTTAAGTAGCAGAAATGTTATCATATATTTAAATTCTGCACGAAATCTTGTTACACTTCACCAGATTGTTTGTAAGCAGTGTCCCTTGTGTGTTTGTATATGAAAATACTCAATTCATACTCAAAATCTAATTCGACTTTAACCCTACTCCACTATCCTCAATATTACCAATATAATTAAAAATATCAACCAATCATTCTTACACGTCACATAAATTTTAATTTACTGTTTATCCACTCACATCATTTTAACTAACCATCATTTCACACTATCTCTCTATTACTTTTACAACAAATCAATTTTAATTATTTTATTTTAAATATTATTTTAATATAAAATCAAAATTCTCACTAATAACTAATCATATCACTTTTTTCAATTTTAATTATTTTATTTTAAATATTATTTTAATATAAAATCAAAATTCTTACAAATAACTAATCATATCACTTTTTTCAAAATTAACTCTGGTTAACAAAAAAAATACTCATTTTGAGTGGATATTTTGTATACAAATAGAAAAGGCAATTCTAAACATCTACAAGAATATTTTTATCCTTAGAAGCTGGGATTGCTTATGTTTTCAGTAGAAGCCAAGAATCAGTCTTTCTTAGTGTTTGCAAAAGAAACTCTCTTTATTTAACTACGTCAAGATCTCAAATTCTCCTTTTATGATTATCCCATAAATTTAATAGGTAATGCTGGTAAAGACATGCATTAGGCTACGAAATCTAAAATCAAGTGAAGGAAGAAGCATACCTCACAGTGGCCGTCCACAAAAACCAAATGTGGCCGATTGGGCAAGCCAGTGACTCTGGAAGCTACATATGTACTGTACCAATCTGTAACCGTGTGGAACATGTTTGCATATTCGAAACGCGTTACTAAAAGAACTGGCTCCTCTATCCACTGAAATTATATCATATTGAATAATGTTAAACCAAGTCCAATGAGAGGATTCTCACAAAGAAAGATGCAAATAAAGATTTTGAGTTATGTTCATTATTGCAGGAAAGTAAGTCATGCTCAATGATAGAGATTCAAGCATGTCTTAAAGATGAAGTATGGTTTAAATCGATAATATTTTACGACATCTGATTCTGCAGACTCAATTGCACGACATCGAGATTTTAACTACGCCCACTTAAAATTTTCATCAAGACATTTAACATTCACAATTAATTCAAACTACACAAATCTTGTTGTCCACATGAAATGCATCTGAAGCTAAAAATGCCAGATGAGCCTTGCTGTAAAATCTATTAAAAGAATGATGATGTCTATAAGGTTATTCTAGCTTTACAAACAAGCAAAGAGTAGGAAACAAAACTCAAGTGCAACCAGATCAAGAACATTCGTATTTGTAAACAATTAGAAACCGACTATAATTCGATAAAAAAATTGCACTTCATAATTGATCTCCCGAACACATGCACAGTTAAAGGTATTTCGACTTGAAACCACTTAATCCCAGATCTTGCTACACTAAATAACAATCCAAACAAGGTTGATAAGTAAAATTGAGCACTTGAGCCATTTGCAGAAATCTCCAGATTACAAGGGTAATCTATTTAATGTCATCAAAAACCTTCCAATATAAAAGCAGGATTCGAACTCCCTTTATCCAACAAGTCTTGTTATTCTTTAAATCTGAGCCTAAATGCATTAGTTGCAACAACTTTCCAAAAAATACCATGACATAACTAGTGAGCAAAAGGAAAAGCACAGAGAGAGAGAGAGAGAGAGAATCCCAGCTGATCCCTATCTCTAATCGACCAATTCAACCGAAAAACAAAACTTCAAAAAAGAAGCCGGATGTGAAAAACTAACCTCAGAGCAAACGAATTCAGAGGCATCAAGTATCCGAATTGAATCGATCAGAGCACGCATGGTATGCCTGCCAATAGCACCTTGTGGCACATATCTATCCAAGAAACCCTCGTCCACCAACTTCTCCCCAGCTCTCGATCTGTCACTGGCCTCAATTTCAAAAGCCCCACTTGCGAAATTCGGCAATTCTTCATCTTCCCCTCTCCCAATCACGCTCTCCAAATTTTCCCCACCTCTGGACATGAAAATCCTATCGGGATCCATCCGAATCCTGCCCCCTTCACATATCGAGCTCCGGAGTGTCTCGCTGTAGAAACACCTGAACCAGCCGCCTCTGGCTGAGGAGAATTTCCGGTGGGGATCTGCGCTGGGTCTCAAAGGATCGACGCGCTCGGAGAACCCGTTCCCGAAATACGCCTCGCACGATTGGGGAGGCGCTTTATGGCCGTCACACGACCAGGGCAGGTAGGATGGCAGTATAGGCCAGGGTTTAACGGAGAGAGGATGGTGGGGCGGGGAGCGATCTTCCGGCGTGGGCCGTTCTTGGGACGGCGGCGGGCGGTGGTTGTCGGGGTGCGAAGAGAAGTAGAGGTAGAGAGAGATGGAGTTGAGAGTGAAGAGGGAGAGCAGGATTTTCAGCGCTTTACTGTTCATGTTCTACGCTTCTCTCTCTATGGCGCCTGGTTTTGCGCTTTTGTTTATGGAGGGTTTATTTTATTTTCTTTTTCGTTTTTTCCATGTATTTTTGGAATGAGATGGAATGCGTAAATTCAATTTTAGGGAACAGAGATGTATTTGAGTCAACATCTTTAGAAATGAATTTCTCAATGCCCAAAAGTGTAGGGCTGTTTATTCTACGGCGTCATATATGAAAGAAATCAGAAGAAAATCTGGATAGTGAAATCCAGATCATTATAGAATGAACAAGACTTGGAACATGCAATTCTACATTTGATAAATCGAAAATTTTACTAAAGGAAAAATTTAACATCACTTAAATGTAGGCAATTGGATATAAATTAATTTCACTTCGTCTAGTTAGATAAAGTTCAATTATTGAAATTGTGATTGTATATAAAAAAAGTTTTACTATTATCAATTCACACGTTCATATATCTCTATTATCTCTCTTATATATAAGAAAAAGTATGAGCACTCTAGAGTTTGACATGTGACACTTCTTTGAATTACCAAATTGTCCTGCAATTTTATTTATTCATTAATTTAGTTTTGTTTTCTCTTACCAAATTTCGGTCGGCTGCTGCGGGTAATGGAGCTTTCAAGTCGGAAATGTTGTTGCTTCTTTTTTTTTATCTCTGTAGTTGTTTTTTGAAGAGACGACGATGGACTCCAGCAGGGAGTTCGAGTTGGAGATGACGAAGGCGAGGCCGAAAAAAAAAAGCTCGGGCTCGTGGATATGTCGACAGTATATGTTGGATGTATAGACAATCTATTTCCAGTATATGTGTTCATTGACCGAATGATTCCACTCATGAGTGTCGACGGATGTTCTGAGAACAGAGCGACGCCCAGTCCTCGAACTCCCGAAGGCTCGCGACAGCCCATCGCTTGTGGCTCTTGCACAGTCCTCGAATTGATTGCTCGTCCAACGGCGGAGGCGGGGTATCGCCGTTCAATCTGCGAGAAGTGACGCAACTCCCTGATTGAGTTTGGAAGGTGAGCAACAATGGCCCTGGCGGAGTGAGCGTCTCTCGACTTAACAATAAGATCCGCCTAATGCTGCTGTGTTTTTTCTTTTTCCTTTTTATTTTTTTTTGCCTTTTGCTTGNTGCATTTTTAGTATATCTTCGGTATATAATGACTCGATTGGTTTATATGTCTTTTGTATATAATCTGAAAAAAAAAAAGAAAGAATGACTAGATTGGTTTATATTCAGTATATCTTTTGTATATAATGCGTTTTAGTTCTCCTTTTCTTTTCTCATGTCCATATAAAACACCTAATAGTTGAAAATCTGCATACTGATTTTCGAACCATTCGCCACCATAATGAATGAAAATCATCATTTTAGACTCCATCTTATTACAAAAAACACACACAAAGAAAAAACATAACAACAAACAAAAGTAATAAAAATAAAAACTCAGACTAACACACACATATACTGTAAATTATGAATGGTATTAAACAAGATCACGTATATTTTCCGTGTATAAATCATAGATAATAGTGATCTTAAACGCACCTTGGTGTAGCTCCTCAATCCAAATATGTCTTCTCGTTTTCAATTCCAATTATGCAGATTTTTAGGAAACTACTAATCATATCTATTTAACATGTAATACAATTTTTTTTTTAAATATGCATCTCGTCCGTTACGGGGGGATCTGGTCGATTTTGGCATAGAAAGTCAATATTACTTGATTCGTTTCTCATATATAGTACATATATAAATAATTACTTTTAGTTAGGTATACTTGCAAATAAGTTTCCTATTTATCATATATGCAAATAAGTTGAAATCACTACGACACACATGTAAATTGACCTTTTATCCCTCAATTTTGGAGGGCCAGCCTGCCTTAGCCCATGACAGGGTTGGGCTGGGTTGGCCATTTAGAGGCCCACCCCGCCCCGCCAACGACGGGTTTTGGCTGGCTGCTGAACTGTCCTCTCTTGCTCCGCCGACTTGTTTTGACATGTTTACGTAAAAGAATGTAATAAGTTCTCACACAAATAAATAAATATAAATAGAAAAAAAAAAGCGCGACCACCAATTATAAAAAGATAAGTAAAAATAAAAATACAAGAATTATCCTAATTAATGTCCTCATATATAAAATCCCATCAACCCAAAATCCTACGGGCAAACGAATGTTAAACTAGGTACAAATTAAAAAATGAAGACAAGCAACTAGCAACCCCTCAGTAAAATTACAGGCAGGCAAGCATAAGCACAGCTGTCAGGGCCGTGGTGGCGACAAGTGTCGGTTGGCCACTGTGTTGGGTGGGAGTGGGAGCCATGGCATGACGAGGCAGAGGAGGAGGCGTGGGCCGCCTCACGACAACTGGCGGCAGAGGAGGCTCGGTTACATTATCATCCGTGAGGACCGGGATTGGAGCCTCGGCTGGTGGAAGGCTTTGGGGTGTCATCAGTTCAATAAGACCACCCACTTGTACTGATTGCATGTACAATGGCCTTTTGCTAGCTCTGTACTTTAAACACCGATTCCCTGTTAACAAATTACAAGTGAAACAACACATTATATTTAATAACTAGTTTCTTTTTGTAAGAAAAGCCAAAAGAAAGAAATACAGAGATTCATGTTTTTGTAATTTAATCACCACATTTGAAATTTTACAAATTAATACACCACCTTTATCATTTTTGCAAATCGATACATGAATGACGACGGTTCCGTTAACAAAAATCAGACATGGCATTGATTTTGTTAGATTTTTGTTAACGGAAGCGTCATTCATTCATGTATCGATTTGCAAATATGATAAAGGTGGTGTATTAATTTAAAAGATTTTAAATTGTGGCAACTAAATTGCAAAAAAAGTGGTGTATTAACATGCAATTCTGCCAAATAAAGAAAGAAAGTTAGCTAATTAGTACTTGCGTATTTGTTAGGAGTGGCGGGGAAGTCGGTGATGAGGCCGTCGATCCCTTTGGAAACGTAACTGTTGATCTCAAAGTAAGGGTCGGATAAGAAGTCCCATGGTTGGGCCACGTATTCGTTACGGAAGAGGCGCACGTAAACCGTGAGGTTCGACTTCTGCAGCCTCTCCACCAAATTCGTCTCGCCAATCACGAAAAACGCGTCAGTCGGGTACACGGATCTCTTGGACACGATTACCGACCCTGCAAACCCGTGTATTTCTGAGATGGTCGACTCCGCCACGTCACTCACATCCTCGTCAACAACGTACACTGTCTCGTACCTTTCACGGCTCATTTTCCTCAGGACTGAGCTGTCGCTCGACTCGATAAGGACCCTCTTTGAGGTGCTTCCTTTCAGGGCCTTATTCACTGCATCAGTCACGCTTAAGCCCTGCTTCTCGGCTAGGTATGCTGCGTTCTGAGCAGGAAATAATTAATACCATTAAAAAAAATAAAAAATGCTACAAGTACATAAAAAATGTACATAGAGGTGTACACAACACTCGCATGGAGTGGGGTCCACTTGATTTTTCATTTTTGGTAGGTCCCACTCAACGTGAATGTTATGTACACCCTATATTATGTACCTATAGCATTTCTCAAAAAAAATTACGAGAATTGTTTTTATTATATTGCATGAGTTGAAGAAAGAAAAAAAAAAGACAGAACCTCGATGCTGATCATGACCCCGGACACGGAAGATTGATTGTTTGCGAATGCGAGGAAATCGGATAGCTGCATCAACTTCCCATCGTTTATTGCTCTTGGATTCCGGAATAGGCCAAACCCGTCTTTATACGGACTCGAAATTTGAGCTGCAAATAACAAACAACAAAAAAAAAGGGAAAAAGAGAAATCAATTTCTGCAGATATTAACTGCAAATGCCTTCAGAAATCAAATAAAATCAATCAGAATTAATGAGCAAGATGCACGACCGCTCAATGAAGATATGTCGAAGCACAGTTTCTTAGTTCTACGTACGTTTCAAGGTTTTAATTTCGGCCCATGTGAAATTATAGACGAAAAGTCCTCCCTTTATGCCTAGCTCATTATTATCAGCTGCTCGGTTCAAGTAAGGTGATTGAACAACATTTGTTGCGTTAAAGAGGTTGATGGATCCCAAGCAAATAGGCACTCCATCGTTCGTGATTTGAACAGGGCAGCGCAGTATATTTGCACCGTCAGACACAGCTTTTTCATATGCAACGTCTGTACAACCGGGATAGTCCCCATTTGCTCCCTCGTTTGCAATAATCGTAAAGTTTGCTGACAAAGCCAAACAAGTATTTTCTCAGCGCTAACGATGAAATCCAAAACAGTGAAGAAACTATAAATGTGATTGTTGTTCCTTACCAAGAATAGTCTCGTTCCCGTTCATGTGAGAATAGCAATCTGCGAGAATTAAGACGGTCATTACTTACGTCAGAGAATGGTTACACATTGTTTCAAATATTCAAAATATTAAAAAAAAAAAAAAAAAAAAAAAAAAAAAAAAAAAAAAAAAAAAAAAAAAAAAAAAAAAAAAAAAAAAAAAAAAAAAAAAAAAAAAAAAAAAAAAAAAAAAAAAAAAAAAAAAAAAAAAAAAAAAAAAAAAAAAAAAAAAAAAAAAAAAAAAAAAAAAAAAAAAAAAAAAAAAAAAAAAAAAAAAAAAAAAAAAAAAAAAAAAAAAAAAAAAAAAAAAAAAAAAAAAAAAAAAAAAAAAAAAAAAAAAAAAAAAAAAAAAAAAAAAAAAAAAAAAAAAAAAAAAAAAAAAAAAAAAAAAAAAAAAAAAAAAAAAAAAAAAAAAAAAAAAAAAAAAAAAAAAAAAAAAAAAAAAAAAAAAAAAAAAAAAAAAAAAAAAAAAAAAAAAAAAAAAAAAAAAAAAAAAAAAAAAAAAAAAAAAAAAAAAAAAAAAAAAAAAAAAAAAAAAAAAAAGAAAGAAAGAAGATAAAGGTCATTCTTCTTCTTACCTATGGTTGCAGATGGAGTAAGTGGGAAGTCAGAAAGCACACCATCAACAGAAAATACACCATTATCAATAAACGAGAGGTACTCCAAAACAGGGTCATAGCTGTAATTATACGGTAATTGAGCATCATTCGCGAAACCAGACGCAAAAACCTCCAAACCCGCACGATGAGCATCCAACACAATGGAAGTATAGTTCAGTAAATACTGCTCTTTATCCACTGCCCATATGAAACTTTTCGGAACAAGAATCCCATCAGCAAACTTTCTAATCTCCTCGAGATTGTTCAAAAACGACGCGTACGTTCGGTTGGTGGTGGGCTCCGTCTCTTCGGAACCCAAAAGCTGGAAAACGAGCTTTCTCCTTCCCACTCCATTTCTGGCACGTGTCAGGAAGTCCACCTCTGGTGATGAAATATATTTAATACCAACCCCAGAGGAACTTTTTAGCAGATTCAGTACATATTCTCTCATGTTCAGACCATGCTGGGTGAAAAATGAATCATACTGCACAAATATTGGAATGAAAAATTAGGGCTGATAATCTGATATCGAGTTAGAGCAATTACTGCACATATATTTTTAATTACCTGTATATTCAACCATACTCCAGATGGTTGGGGTTGCGACTCATATATTGACTCAGGAGTCATAATTTGCAGTCCACTGTAATCAAAATTGGGCGCCCGAGAATAAATTCCTTGTGTCACTGTTCGAATTACAAAAACCAGTAAGCATGACTTAATCTGTACATTGCTAATTCGAAAAAAGACAGTAAAAGTAAAGCCGACGAGAGTTTTAGGGCACAATAGGATGAAGCAGAACAGAGACTTACAAGATACATTGCTAATTAGTTCGTTATAGTAAAAATCAACGGAAAAGTATCCTTTCATCTGGACGCCATTGACTGGATAAGAGCTGCTCCTGTTAGGATACACAAAATCGATGTCTGACGAGTTTTGTAGCAGGATATTGGGGAAGCAAATTCCACGATTGTCTTTTGTGAGCATCAAATCGCAAGAAACGAGTAGATTTGGCAAACCCAATTGGACCGCAAGTGAATAAGCAACACTACTGGAATCGGCAATTATCCCGGAAAATCCACCATTAGCTATGACAAGTGGAGCAGAACCTGTTGAAAGGAAACTGATTAAAGTTACTTATTATCATCATTAAGTTGTTTTTTTTTTTTTTTTTTTTTTTTAAATT